TTAAATTGTTCTTTCTCATTTGGTTCCCTTTCTCTTTTACTCTCTCTCTCTCTCTCACTCGCTCTCTGTTCTCTCACTGTTCTATTACAAGACTTTTTTCATGTATAATTCAATGAACCCAACAGTATGCACACTTAAAATCAAAAGATATGAAAGGAATATTGTATATAACATATCAACAATTATGTTCAATTCATTTATTTTTCTTGAAACAGAAAAGATTGTAATTCACGATGAATACGATTATAAAATTGAAGGTCAAATATTAAGCTGCAATAGCCACATAATCTGCAACTTGAAACTATTAGAATTAAATGTTATGCATTTGTTACATTACTTTTTCCCATTTTTTTAAAACAAAGCATAGTCTACTTTTGAGCCATGTTTCTTTTGCAGGGAATCTGTTATATCATGACTTGCACTATGTTATAAAACACATTACAAAACATGATTTCTGAAATGATTCAAAATCACAATTTTCCAGTGAAACAATGAAGATCTGATGTACATAAAAACATCCTTATGAGTGATGGTTGCTTTGTGGTTCACACATACAACAAGGATATATCAGGCTTTTTATCAATGGTTGCTTGTTTGTTACCATAGCTTCATGTTATGAGGATTATAATACAAAGGTTTTGATCCCCACGCAGTCACAGTTACAGCAGATGGAGTCTGGTTCATTGAAGAGGCTAAGTAGAACTTCATAGTCCTTGCAAGTCTGTTGAATGAAAAGAGAAAATAATGAAAGGAAGCACATTGAAACCTATTTCTGTTAAAGATTAAAAAGGTCTTCCATGTACATTGTGGTAAAAGTGGAGTGCATAATCAATTACATGAAAGTATTGATGGAAAAATGTGAATGAACAAATGCCATCCTTGAAGTACATGGGCATACAAACAACAACTTATTCGTACAGCCTACCTGTCAGAAATTCAGCAGCTCAGTAGTTCTCCTTCCTCTCTCTGAATTTGTCTCAGTTATCAGGGAATTTGCCTTCATTTATTTTACTGAAGAAAAACATCATCCTGAAACAAAAATAAAAAGGTTTACGGTAGACCTCATTAAAATATCAAAAATCTACTCTAACTTAATTTTTTTTTTAAGGCGCCTTTCATGTAGGCAGTGACTAGGCACCCCTCCCCACTCAGTTACTAGTAATCATTGATTTACAGAATGACTACCGGTATCTCTTTTAAAATCAAGAACAAACATACACATTCTTGCAGTACTATCTCATAAATGTGCTTGCACAAAGTTGTACTTGTCATTTCATGGCCTAAGAAAGCCCTAAGTAGTTAAAGTCTATAGCTAAGTTAGTCCCTTTCCTAAAATCAAGTCTAGAGGTCTACATCTTACTTAGATAACCAACCGACAGTTGGCTTAACCTAGATGTAAATGCAGCCTGGAATGGAGATTTTACAAGGCCCTAATCGTTAGAGCCCATCTTTTCCATTTTAGTTCAATCTAACATTAGACCAAAGATTGTCTTTGTTTATGTTATCTCCCAAAATGAGCTTCGTGAAAGGGGAAAAAGTAAAATGAAAATTTACTGCACTGCACTGTACTGCAGTCTGTAGGTCTCTAAGTCTTATATGGTCCAGAATTGTTAGCGGTAGGTTTGAATTTTCTTCTGACCCAAATTTTAAAGAAGTTAATCAACTGTTGATTATTTGTGTCTTATTTTCAGAGATAGTTCCTCCCAAAAGTCTAGACCAAGCTGTCACTGTCAGGAGTGACTGGTAGCCATGGCAATTGAGCTGAAAATATTAGCTCGTGCCCATGTAAAATGAATAAAAGTTTGAGTGTAGATTGCACCTAAATTCATCAGACAAAACAATTTTAAATCACTTCATAATGTACCTGTAGACACATCTGCAGATTCATAAAATCAGGAGATCTTTTAATAAAAATTGTATAAACATGATTTAGTTTACAAAATTTAGGCGTAATTACAGCTTTACTCACCAGCAGACTTTCCAAGAAAAATGGAGTATCTTTTTTTCCTGTTCAGGAAATAACTGGTGTTGGGCCAACTGGCTTGGAGATGCCTATGTGGGTGCACCATATTAACGCCAGGGAAATGGCAGTAATTATAACATTCATGTTGGGTCTGCACTCTGCAGGACTGCCTCTCTTGTTGAAGGAATTGAGATGTATTGCTCCCATCTCCTGGCAATGGCTATTGAGATGGACTTCACAAGGCGGGACACCATAGCTTGGGAGAGGCCTTCTTTTTTCATCCCCATGCATCAATTGAAAAGAACCTGAAATAGCAGAAAATCAAGATGAAAAATATGTTAATATTTGAGAAATTACAATTTCTCTTTCTCTGTAGTTTACTAACTAATAGTATTATTAGACTAAACTACTGTTACAGTAACATTATCAGCAAATGTATGTCAAAAAAGGAAGCTTTTGTCCATTTCCTTTCAATTTCTATTAGACCTGTCTAGACTAGACTCTGATGAAATTTAGATCTAGGTCTATTAATATTGTTTAAAAAAAAAAAATTCTTGGGGGGGGGGGCAGGGGTGGGTGGTTATGAAAATCATCACACCAACAGCCACAACTAGCACAGCACTGCAGCTCAGGCAGAGGTGATACCAGACCGAAATTTCTGTCTCTTTCATTTGTTAGCCTCTGATTTGGGTAGGGTCGGCTGAAAGAGAGGGGCCGATGTTATGTTTAGAAACAGGTTCATTGAAACTAACATGCAATTGAAATTAACATGCCACTTAGAAATGCACTGCAGCTGTTAAGGCACAGTTCATTGTTATTCATATTAGATGCATAGTCTACACACAATGCAAGTGTATGCAAGGGTCTTCCGATCACTACATTATACATGTAAAAGCACATGGATATTGAGTCTGGATTAAACTACCAAAGCAACCACACGTGTTTCTGCAGGCTCCATTTTGTTTGTCTCTATACTTACAATAGCTTAATAGTTAGTAGCCTACTTTCCAACCCAAATTACAACAGCCGACACTACCCAAATCAGAGGCTAACGAACGAAAGAGACTGCTAGTCCACTTTTAGGCAACATCGTCTCGAAAATCCACTATAAAAGTAGTTTCTACGTCTAGCAATGATAGTTTTAAGATGGTGTTAAGGTGGTATATGCGTACGAAAGGACAATAGTGCCAAGAAAAAGAATTACCCGGTAAGAAATTGCTCAATCTTAGGAAACGAAAATATTAACCGACAATTATTTGCACGTATGGGACTGCTCTGCGAACACTGTGAACATTTACCAAGTTTCCTTCAAATTTATTCAGTTAAAAGCATTTTAGATTATCACCAGTACAGCAACATGAAAGTAAAAAAAATACTTTATTAGCTGGTGTAACTTTCATGAGCGCTTATCCATACAAAAGAGTGTAAATTGTTATCAAATATAGAAATTCAAATGCAAAACTTACCGTTCACTCTCCGCGGACAGTCGATTTAACTAAAAAGTGACGTCACGCGAAGTTAGGCCGAACTATGACGTATTTAAACCTGCCCTCTGAGCCGCCTAAAGTTAGGCCGAACTATGACGTATTTAAGCCTGGCTTATCTTTAGGCCACCTTCGAGAATAGCAAAAAAGATAGTCCATGGTTTAAACCAGGTTTAGGCCACTGATTTAACTTAGGCCGCTTTCGAGAATACCACCCTATGGCCCGAATTCACAAAGCAAGGTTTGAGCTCAGACCAAGGTTTATGTACGTCATATGACGCGTTTCAGGTTTGAGTTCAGACCTTGGTCTGAAATGCATTTCACAAAGCCGGTTTGTCCTCAGACCAAGGTTTATGTACGTCATATGACGCGTTTCAGGTTTGAGTTCAGACCTTGGTCTGAAATTACATTTCACAAAGCAAGGTTTGTCCTCAGACCAGGTTTATGTACGTCATCGCATCAGACCCGAAATTTACAGACTGCTCAGATAGGAGGTTTATAATTTCTCAAACCTGGTTTGAGAGCTATCAACCAATCAGGATGCAGCACTGGTTGGAGATAATTTATGCTCGATTGATTTTATCAAAATAATTCACCGCCAAAACAATCTGCGATAGTGTCTGGTCAGCCCGATTTTAGTGCAATTGAAATCTCTCAATCTCTCGATCCTTTCCTTAAAATCGTAAGTATAAAACCTGTACATGTAGTCGAATCCATACTCTTTACTTTATTGACATTTCAATATGTGATATGCTTTATAACTTTCCATTTACCATGAAATGTTTGGTGTTTACATATCCGATGGCCTCTCAATTTTGAGTTCAGGGACTGAGTCTGAGGGAGCTCGAGTCCAACGCCCAAGGCGGCGGCGGAGCTCGCACCCTCTGACCCTGGGCTGGAGTTGGGCCTAGCCGGGCCGGGCCTACAGTAGATATCTGAGTATGACTGTCATGTTTAATTTTGTCTTGTTGTCAGCAATGCCATGACACATGCCAATTAGAGTAGGCCTAGACCTACACTAGTTATTACAAATTCATGATAAAAATGATAATAATACCAGGCTCTAGCCTAGGCCTGGCAATGATGTCCATCACTTGACTTGGACACTGGTATGGTACCTAAATAAATAGAAATTGAAGTGGCATTAGCAATGCCAATGTTCCCCAAAATGAATCACACTGACAAGCACAGACCAAAAGCTTCAGTCTCTCTATATTGCCGGTTGTTCACTGAGACTACGTCTGGCTCCACTTTAGACCTCCGATTATAGAATGTCAACAAATGTCAGTTTTATTATTTTTATTAAAGAAATGACCCATATCAGACGGTTATTTCTGTTTATGAGTCATGACAAGCAAAGCTTTTATTAAATTTAGATCTGGTTCTAATTGTCTTAATTAACTGGCTTAGTCCCCAGAGCCAGGATCACCCACAAAGTCACAAGCACAAGTAACATTTCTTTAATATTTTAAAAACATTGTTTAAACATTTGTTTCATTTTATCTTCACTCCAGTAAAGATAGTAGAAATGCAGCTGATTCAGCATAATGATCTGGTGTACCTGAAGGAGGAGCTGGGGCAATATATAGCAGCACAACCGGGCAGAGGCCTCTGAGATTGGGAAAACCCGCTGGATGATGAGCCTTTTGTTTTAGATTGAGGTACTTTGAATTCAAATTCTGTATTGGGAAAGTTGGCGAAAACATGGCCAAACTACTTGATGAATATTGTTAACATAGCTATAAACTAGATGGAATTCGACTGCGCGCAGTCGAAAATGATGCCTCCGTCATAGAGCAATTTTACCAACCAAAACAGAAGAAATTTTTCAAATTCAAGTTCATTTGTAATCCATTAACAGGTTCTCAGAATATCGTGATTACAAGCAATTTCTCATATACATATATGACCCTTTGAACTTTGACCTCATGACCCTAAAATATACTCAGTACATTGGCTCTGCAAGATGTCCTGAGTTTAATAGTAATCTATCTGTCAGTTCTAATGATAATGCGATCACAAGCCATTTTTGCACACATAATGAGCCGCGTGACCTTTGACCTCGTGACCCCAAAATCTAATCAGTTCATCGGCTCTGCAAGTAACATACATGACTAAAGTTTGGCAGGAATCCATCAATCTGTTCTTGAGATAACGCGATCACGAGCTGATTTTGCATATATAATGAGCCCTGTGACCTTTGACCTTTGACCTCGTGACCCCAAACTCTAATCAGTTCATTGCCTCTGCAAGATAAATACATGACCAAAGTTTGGCAGGAATCCATCAATCGGTTCTTTAGATCACGAGCTGTTCTTGCATACATAATGAGCCATGTGACCTTTGACCTTTGACCTCGTGACCCCAAAATCTAATCAGTTCATCGGCTCTGCAAGATACATACATGACTAAAGTTTGGCAGGAATCCATCAATCGGTTCTTCAGATAACGCGATCACGAGCTGTTTTTGCATACATAAGGAGCCCTTTGACCTCGTGACCCAAAATCTAATCAGTTCATCGGCTCTGCAAGATACATACATGACCAAAGTTTGGCAGGAATCCATCAATCGGTTCTTCAGATAACGCGATCACGAGAACGGGACGTACGGACGGACGTACGGACGGACGGACGGACAACCCGAAAACATAATGCCTCCGGCTACTTCGTAACGGAGGCATAAAAAGGGCTTCTGTTGTAAAATCCAACCCTAGTGTCGTTATTAAAATCCAGAAATATTTCAATTCATGTTGACCGCCTAAATTCACTGTTCGTTTGCCCCGCTCCGCTGGTCTGCCTACGACCGTGCAAGCCCCTAAAGCCATGCACATGTGCGTTTACATAAATTTATTCAATTTCTAAGCATTTTCTGTCATATTCCATACATTGAAAGATTAGTTATGATATTTATTCTTTTACATGGTAGGTGATGAAAGCATTAATTTTCATAATTTGTGTGTGGGGCATTTCCCAATACTGTTATTTGGCTTTAATACATGAGGAAATTATTCAGATTATGTGTTGGAAACAAGTTTGTGATTTGTTGCTTAAATTTCACAAAAGGTGAAGCCGTGAAGGAGATTAGAAAAGGCATAGACAATTTTGTCTTTTATGTTAAATTGATTCACACCACATCTAGAAATCAGGATAATTTTTGTTTTTAAGTGACAGTGACAGTTGGGGATGCAAAAATATAATAGCATAAACCAGCAAAAAAATGATTTATTTGAATGCTTGTTTTTTTTTTAAATTTTAAAAGGTAATTCGATCTAAAGGATGCACGGTGAGGAGGCGACATGCCGTGTCACATTCATCTGTTTGCCGAATGGAGAGTCGTGAGGGATGTTTCCGAAGCTGTTGTCAGAAGAAAGGGACAAGTCATGAAGTTTCCTACAAGTTACAAAAAGGCAAAAAGTGACTACTATTCAGAAGCAGTTTTTCCAGTACTGCAGATTTCCAGGAGTTGCTGTTGATGGGACACATGCATCAGGAGCCCTGGTGGGGCAAGAGCCAGGTACTACTTCAATAGGAAGAACAGGTACTCCATCGATGTTCAGGTGAGAATAAATGAATACATCATGACTGGATCCAGCACGGCTTTCCCTTTAGACCTTTTTGTTGTACCTTGCAAAATGTTCACATTAGATATAATACTCTCCAGTCTTGTGTGTTGTACATCCATGCTATTTCATTGGTGACCAATGCAAGATTTCTAGTGGCCAAATGGATATTAAAGTAATATTCGCGTACAGGTACTCATTTCACTGCCTTTGTACGCAGTTAAGAATATCCAATGGATAGTTAAACTTAAAAATCCTAACACTCGTTAATATCTTTTTAACGAAAGGGAAATTTGAAAAATCAAAACTTGTTCCATCCTTCTATTGGCAATGCAGATATGACCTCTAGATTTCTGATATTTTGTTGATGGCCATGGCAATTGGGCCACTGTTTTTGCCATTGATCAATGAAAGAAAAAACAACAAAGAGAAGCATGTAAATTGATCAATGGCAATTACCACTATATATTTTAAACTATAGAAAAACAAACAGGTTCATTTACCATAAAAAGATGAGAGAGTGGGTACCCCCTCCCCCCCCCCACCCCCACACACACAAAGCATTTGTTGTTTTAGGCTCGAAATGTTTTGTTAAAAGTGAGATTATTTTTGTTTACATTGTTACAAGATAAACAATGAAAACATGAGTTAAAAATGAAGAAATACTTCATCAGTCAATAAATATAGGGTAATTAGCATTTTCTTCCAATTTGTGTTGTATAAATAGATATTGAAAAGCAATTATCTCATATTCAACTGCATTTGCATTAATTACCATAAATAACAAGTGAAATTTATACATTTCACGGCCTATCTGAAGTGTGAAATGAGTGAGTTTTCATAACAAATGAATGCCAACATGTTATTTCATATTGACAGGTTGTCTGTGATTATGCTGGGAAAGTAACTAGTATCGTTGCAAGATGGCCTGGACTGGTAGCAGCCACGATGCCAGGATCTTTTCTGAGTGTGCACTGAATTGATAGCTTGATGCTAGGGCATATGAATAACAGTTGATTCTTGGAGATAGACTATAGGGTAGGTAGATTATTTCTTTATATGAAAACATTTGTTTATTCTTTTTCTTAATCAATCTTGTTTCCTTTTTTGTATTTGGCCAACATGTGACATGTTAGGAATGTTCATTTGGTAATATAGTAACAACTCGCATTAAGTAATTAATTCAAACGAGCTCATGTGCTTTTAAATTTCAGTTCACAAATCATAATTAGTGTTTTTGATATCTGGATGCAACTTGATTAGTTTGTTGTCAAGAGGAACCTCATAGTTTTTGTATTAGTGACACAGGATTGAATTATTCCTGATTATGTGAACAATACATTGTATCCTTTTCTATAGTATCACCCCCACCCCCCTCCAAGAAAAAAATGAACAAGTTGAAATTAAGAATATTGTTTATGATATTGTTTATTTTGTCCATTCGATTTTGCAGGTATCCATGCCTTCTCTGCCTCATCAGAAGCCATTTCTTCATTCAGAGGGTCGACCACAGATGTGCTTTAAAGGCCATCTGTACTAGTTCAGCCAAAGAGGATTAGACAACCCAGCGAGGTCACTGACGGGAGGCTATCTCATCAATTCAGTTCTCAATTAACATAAGAAAAAGAGGATCATGGGGGATTAACAGGCACAGATTGGGGAAGTTTTCTATATAGAGGGAGCAAGTAGCTACAAGTAGTACAGTGGGGCTTTAACACTTCACACACAAAAAAGGGAGATGTGTGATTGAGCGCATATTTATTAAATGCAAGGATGAGGACGTTCCATGCCTCATCAATCTAAGAGAGAAGGTCGACACTTCTTAATTATTTTTATGCTTTCCTGTTGCCCATATTGGGGAAATTCATGTTGTTCAAATATAGCATTGGTTTGGCCAAGTATAGCCTAAAACAGCTAACACTGGAGCTTACTAACAAGCATTTATTGCTTTCTTAGCTGTCAAGTAAAATAACTACCACTATCTATCTATTTAGTGAGCTATACATTATTTAATTAAGGATTCCACAAAATTTTTCAATGTATACGGTAATAAGTTATAAAATACAGATTTAACTCAATTGCAACTGGAATTACCTCAAAATGTATTTCAAAATACGGCTCCTCCCTGGTGTTCCCACAATACTTTGTAGTTATGCAGCATTACATCAAGAACCTGGGTGTTGAACTGTTGATTATTTATGAATATTTTTGATGTTATGTTTAGTTGATAAGTATTTGTTGTCACTCTGACGGTATTTGTAATTAAGTGTTCTCTGTAGATTAAATGCACCCGATTTAACTATAATTAGCATTGTATACACTGCTGAGTTGAGGGGTGGGTCAATATAAATTATTTGGTTGTCAGCTAGGGGAGAGTATTCGAACAAATATTATTTACTGTACTAAGCGAAGTCAGAATTAAAGAACTTTTATGTGCAAATTTGAATTTCGTCACCCATTTTGTTGTATTTCTGATTTTCTTTCTGCTAATAGCGCTACAGTGAGACTTTTAATTGGCCTTCCAGAGCCTCTCTTAACCTCTAGTGGGCTATATTTCATATAAGCATGCTACACAATTTACAAATGTGAACTGCATTGTTTGAACAAACGGTAGATTACTATTGTGTTGTATGCTCAATTATTTATGTAAAACATGAAAATACAAATACAATATTCTTGCTTTCATATATTTACAAAGATAACTGAAATAGATATGTGTCAGATTATCTCTCTCTCCCTTTTTTTTTGGGGGGGGGTGCAGATGTGTGTGTTTGCAGTTTGCATGGTTTTGCATTATGTGTTTCATTGCAAAAAAGAAGAAGAAGAGAGAGAGAGAAAGTTGAATAGAGAGAGAGAGGGGACAAAGAAAAAAATTAATAGAGAGAGAAAGGGAGGGAGAGAGAGAAAGAGAGAGAGAGAGAGGGGAGAAAGAAAAAGAATTAATAGAGAGAGAACAAAAATGGGTAGAAAGAGAGAGGAGGGACGGGGACAGAGAAAAAGACAGGGAGGGAGAGAGAGAAAGATGAATAGAGAGAGAGGGGAGAAAGAAAAAGAATTAATAGAGAGAGAAAGGGAGGGAGAGAGAACAAAAATGGGTAGAAAGAGAGAGAGGAGGGACGGGGACAGAGAAAGAGACAGGGAGGGAGAGAGAAAGAAAAGATGGCCATAGAGGATTTTTTTTTTTTTTAATTAATATTATATGGAAACGAATCATTTACCAGTTACAATTTTGATGTGAAAAAAATAGCCAGTTGGGGAAACAAACGAGGAACTAGTTAAAATAATAATTGATTGACCATTTTAACAAAATAACTATATAGATATAGTAATTAACAATTGCAATCAAATGAATTAATATATTAATCACAATAAAAACTTAATTCATATTAAATCATTATTATTATTATTATTAGGTGATTTTATTGATAAGAATTTGTAGCCCCCAAAACAATAAGACTCTTACAGTTAATTTAAAAGAGCCCTTGACAACCTTAGATGTATTAATCTAACAAAGGTTTTCAGGTGCCGATGTCAATTTGTTCTGGGTCAGATTGAGTGCTTCACCAGCACCACACAAATGTGAGTACGTGGGGCACTTTCTGCATCGGCGCGCCAGTTTGGTTCGATTAATTCATGAAAATGCAATTCAAAAGTTTATTTCAGAGATGTTCTAACCATCATCTTTTCAAGATTGCTCATTAAGATGTCCGGATCGTACTAAGAATGCTTAGTTTAACAGTTTTTTCAATTCTTAACATTTAAACCCTAGCCCATAAAAATTATGTTAGAAACCCTATGGCTGAGACTAGTTTTACAAACCTTGGTCCGAGGTTTGGGAATTACAGACCAAGGTTTATATAAACCTTCCTTTGTGGAATGGGTTTGAAAATAAACCAAGTTTGAGCTCAGACCAAGGTTTATATAAACCTTGGTCTGATTAAACCGGGTCTGTCCTCAGACCTCCGTTGTGACGTCTATGCTTTTTCAGCAACTAAACGAACATGTTTATGGATAATTTCACGTACCCTTTTTGTTGTTCTTGCTGTCAGCGACTCTTGCATTTGATAAGTTGAAATCTTGGGAGAGATTCTTGAGCCATTTTTGTCTTGTTTGGAATTGTCTTGTCTTGTATGAAAATACCGACCAATTTTTCGCACACATACGGTATCCTCGATCGCTCAAACCAATTGTTAACATGTAAACCTATGGGGTAACCATGGAGACTGACCTATTTTCCCAATAACCATGGTTATTGGAAAATAGGTCTGTTTTAACCATGGTTACTGCGAATTTTCGGGAACAGTTAAAGTTTATGAATGCAATTTCGACCAATCAGATTGCTGGATTACTTAAGTGAGGTATATAATAATAAATATATAATCACTTAATATTCAATTCCGATTTATACAAATACAACTCCCGTCAAAGGAATAATCTTTATATTCCTTTTTTCAAAACTACAGTGGTCTTCAATCCCTTATCAGCAGGCGCGGATCTACGGGGGGTTTAGGGGGTTTAACCCCCCCCCCCCCCTTGGGCGGCCCCAACAAAAAAAAACAAAAAAAAAGGAAAAAAAAAAAAAGAAAGAAAAAAGAACGCACGCTGGAGAGAAACCCTTTCAAGTGCAAATATTGTGAGAAGATATTCAACTCATCAGATGCCAGGAAAACATCACTTACGGGGTTCAAATAAACACCCCCAAATAAATCGGCTCGCCGCTTTGCGGCTCGTGGACGATGCTCCGCATCGTCATTATTTTGGTCAACCCCCCCCCCCCCCTTAGCAAAAAGCTAGATCCGCCCCTGATCAGTATGTGATCGAAGGAATGGAATGAACTCCCACAAGACATAACATCAAGTAGATCACTTAAGACATGTAAAGTATTGTCCAAGTCAATATTATTGAATGAAATGTTATGGCAATATGCATGTATATGACAAATGAGGGTATATGTGACCCCCCCCCCCCCTATTTATATTTTTAAATTGAAATCCCAGGCATGTGTGTGTGTGAGTGTATCTGTGCTGCGTATGTGCGTTTGTGTGTCTGTGTGTGATAATGTATGTAGCCTTGTTTGTTTATTTTCAATCTTTAACTTTTTTCACTTTTTCTTCTTTCGGGATACCAATTACAAGCATTTTGCATTTCGGTGTTCCTAACCATAATTTGATTTACTGTTTTAAATTGATATACGGTTGATATGGTTGAATTAATAAATACGAATAAGGTAGACACCTAGTCGACATTATTATTGTCATCATTACTCAAAAGATTAACAAGTTTCAGTACATTCTGCATTTTCCTATTCTTGACATTAAAGTTCCAGCCAACCTTACTATGTTTTACATATATTCTTTTGTCATGCATAAAGTGTTCAATGATTTGTTTGTTATATATTTGTAAAACTGCAAAAGAAAAAGAAAATTACACATAAGTAAATAAATTAAATCAAATCAAATCAAATCAAATGACTTTAAGCTCGTTGAAGATTATTTTGAAAAACAACAGTGAATTAATTGATTATTCAAATAAATATATTTAAGTCTACTGGCATAACATTATTCCTGAGGCAATATGAATTTGACATGAATTACAAAGTTTGTTGGCAATGACATGATCTCTATTTTTATCACTTGAAATGTTTAAAACCAGATGTCTTGTAATACACTTATGCAATAACTTCCAGATAATTAACTTACAGAAATATATTATTTCACTAGGCTTATTTTTCTCTCCTGCTTTTGAGCTAATCCGAACATAATTTCTATAATCCTTTAGTCAAGGCACTCGTGCTGTATTTCCCTTAACGCGTCTGAATACATAGACTAATCGCGCGACGACTGTGATCTCGGTCCAGCGATCACTGCTGTAAAGCCACACTGCGTTAGTCTATTTTCAGACCTTGCTCGGCAGACAAGCAGCGCGCGAGGCCTTGTCCAAAGGCTAAATTTATATTAACTCTGCAGTATTGAAATCGCTCTTGAACCCACATGTATTTCTCGAAAGTGTTTTCTTATCATTTTTGGGGTATTCAGCCATTATTTTCCGACCCTTAATCACTTGGCAGAAAGTAGTTTAAAATGCACATACATGTGTGGTTAACAAATGATATCATAATGACAAACATAGCACTAGAAATTTGAATACGATAATTTTCGTGTTCTATAATTGTATCTACTATATATATAATATGAATAGTAGGCCATCATGCTCATGTCACTGCACTTTAATGAAGAGAGTGCGAATTCAGAAACTTCAAGTAAATCTATACGAGTTTCACTCTAAAACTCTGAAATGGATGGATCCATATTCGGATACCCCTCCCCCTCCCCCTTTACATCAAATCTTCATAAAAATAAAAATCGAAAAATCAAACAAACATTGGATCGAGATGTCTAAGTTTGAATACCCCTCCCTCCCCCCCCCCCCAACCAGTACAATACTAAGCTTATTGGTATATGAATACTGTTCTACACGCTTACCTTATATTCTGATATGCGTGTACACCGTTACACCAAATCAAACTTAGAAGGGAAGTCAATTCTGTTTATCATTCTCCTACTTGCTTGAACACACGCAAGACAAAGCACTCATCGTAAACGCCAATGTCAA